GAGTGGAAATGAAAAAGAGTGAACATAAATTTTGTGCCAAGTTTGCCTCGAACCTAAGAAGAATATGATTCAATTTAGATTATCGTGGATAGATTAAGTAAGTCCGCTCATTTTTTTCGGTGAAAATCATATATGGATATGTCCAAGTATGCCTAGTTATATATTGATCGGATAATATCTTTGCATCGGATTCTAATTTCCATTATTTCGGATTGAGGTAGTCAATTTACTTTTTGATTCTAAACGAAATTACAAGAGGTACTTTGTCCAAGGTTAGACTTTAGTATGACATTCTACCTTCAAACAGATGATTAGTCGGAATGGATAATTTAGTCCTCGAAGGATATGCTTAAAACATATGTGATGGACTCAACAAGTAGTTTGGGATTACTATTTACTATTTATTGATTTTTCATACAAGAATAGCTTTTATTCTAGTATCGAAATGACACCATATAAAACTTTGTATGGCTAAAAGTGTAACTCACCTATTTATTGAGCGAAAGCTTGAGAGAAGAAACTTTTATGGTCATAATTGATTCAATTTACTCGTTGAAAAAGTAAAGTTGATCCAAGAATGTCTTAGGGTTGTGCATAATAGACAAAGTAGTTATGCGGATTCGAAAAGAAGACATGTAGAGTTTCAAGTTAGTAATTTTATGCTTCTTTGAGTTTCTTCAATGAAGAGAGTGATGCAGTTTGGCAAAGAAAGGAAAATTAAGTCCAAGTTATGTTAGGTTGTTTAAGACCATTAGCCGAAGAGCAATAACTTATGAGCTAGCCTTACCACTATAATTTTTGAGCATTCATCATATTTTTCATATTTTCATGCTAAGAAAATATATATATCCGATCCACCTCACATCTTAGAACTCCAAATGGTGGAGTTAAATGCCGACTTGTCATACGAGGAGCCATTAATGGTGATAGTAGATTGTCAAATTAAGAAATTGGAGAATAAAGAGATTTTTTCATCTAAGGTTATTTGGAGTCATCATTCGATTGAAAAGGTTGAAGAATAGATGAAAAGGAAGTATCCTCATTTGTTCACTTACTAAGGTATGCTTGGAATTAAATTCGAGGATGAATTTTTTTTAAGGAGAGAATAATGTTATAACCTATCCTAAAAATAAAGTTTAGTTAGTAATTTGTATATTTGAGATTAAGAAAAAGATAGTTTTAAGTTAAATTAAAGGTTAATTATATTTTTAGAATAAATTAAAAAACTAAAATTTTGTTATAAATAAAAAAAAATAGTTCTTTAACCTTATATAAAGAAAAGAGGAGAGACTAAGAAAAAAGATGAGATGAAATATAAAACGAGAGGAAAAAAATTTTAAAAAATAATGGGCGACCTTTTTATAAAAACTAGATAGCTCCATTTGCCCCGTCATTTCTTCTCATTTCTTACTCACCCAAAAACTCTCTCTGCATCCTCCTATTTCTCTCCATTTCTAAGGTAAAATCTTGATCAAATACCTTAAAATTCATGAAAGCAAGATGATTGAAGTGAAGTTTAGCTAGATTAAAACTTGGAAGGCTTAGAGGGTTGTAAGAATGGATTGAGTTTGAAGACCCATTTGTCAATGGTGAGATTTTTATCTTTTAATCTTAAAATTGAGATGATTATGTATGTTAATTGATTATTTTGGGGTTTTTTATATTTGGTTTATTGTTTGAATAAGAACTCGAGTTAAGTTAAGATTAGAAGTTGAATTAAATTTAGAGATTTGATGATTTAAAAAATAATTACGCTAATTGATACTTGAAATGAGATAATGGTAGTGTGAAATTGATTATTGGACTATGGGTTTGAGAAATTCTCAAGTTGATTAATATGATGAATTATAGAGGTAAGTTGTGGAAAAACTTAAATTAGATATTAATGATAAATTGTAGAGATAAGATGTGTGAAAATTGAATTGGAAGTTGATAATGGATTGTAGACACAAGTTGCGTGAAAATTGAATAGAAATTTGATAATTGATAATTAGTTGTAATAAAGTGTAAATTAGGTTGTTAAAGAATGATTGTAGAATGAACTTACGATACGGTTATTGAGTAATTGTCTAGAATTGGTTAAGAGAGTAAGAGATTAGTTAAAAATCCTCAATTTGAGTTTTTTTGATAAATTATATTCTTGTAAATTGTCTTATATTTCGATTGGTAGAATAATTCATTTGTATTTGAATTATTCTTTCGGATGTAATATTAATGATTTTTTGATCATTTTGTATCATTAGATTCTTCGAAACGAGCGACTTCATCTCGACAAACTTGACTTTGCATAATCTTCTAATTTGTAATGTAAGTAGATAGTATATAACATAACATGTTTTTAAATTCTTTTGATATTTTCATCATGCATCATTGATTTAAATATTTTAATCATATCCGTTAGAACTTAGATGAGAACAGAATCCTAGTGTAATTTGAAATGATTTGACATCAAAATGATTTAATATGATTTTAAAAAGGATTTGATTATATGTTTTAAATAAGAGGTCCATTCAAGGTTTGATTTAATTCTATGAATTCAATTACTTGTTTGACTAAGATTCTTGACTATGATTTTTGTTCATATAATTTAAGTAAGTATTTGATTTATAATTTTAAATATGAGTTTGTATTAGAGTTTAAACTTTGATTATAAGATTTGAGATTGAATTGCATTACCAAATATGATTTTAAGCATGAATTGTGTTTAGATATGTTGGATTTGTATTTCAAAATATATGTAAGTTTATTATAGTTTCGAATTATTTGACTAACTTGAGATACTTAGTTACGGAGGGCGTAGCTCGTGAGTTCACCGACACATAATGCTCTAGCTAGCAGGAGAGGCATAATGCTAACTTATGTGTCGACCAATATACGATTACCTAGCTATGAGAGGCGTAGCCTTTGGATGATCGCATCCAATGAAATGTTATGGTTTAATAACCTTAGGTGTAGATTTTGGATATTTGATTTGGTTTGATTATTCTATATATAGATTTCGATATTTGATGTGACTTGATTTGATTATATGTATTTTGATATGAGATTTGAATTATGAGTTTGAACAACTTAAAATTTGAGATACGATTTACTATTTAAAGTATGTATTTGATTTTAAGAAATATGCATTACATCTTGAGTAGATTTTAAATTATCATCATTAGTCCGTTTCTCTTCCTTAATCATGTTATTTGTTATTTACTCATTGAAATGTTTTTTTGCTCATATCCCATTGTTTCAATTTTGTAAGATTTATGAGATTGCCTTCTCACTTCCTTAGAATCGTTGTTTTGAAGCCGACATATTGATTGTGTAGCTTATTTAATTATAATATTTTAAACTATATTTTGAGATTGTCATAAATTCTAGAAGCTGCGGAACTATATTTATAGGAGTTGTGTCGGGTTGATTATGATTATTACACTCGGATATGTATATGCATTATGGAATTATTGTTTGAGATGAAATTATGAAATATTGACTAATTAAGTTGTGATATTGTGAATTAGATGAGAGTTGTATTAGAATATTGATTGAGAATATTATTTTGGGAAATGTATGAACATTGTGGAATTATAGTTTGTGTTGGAATCAAGAATTATTGATTAATTATGTTTTGATATTATGAATTGAATTGATATTTTGATTACTATAAATTTGATGATTATAGTTTAGATATTCGAAACTTGCTTGAGTTGAGGTGGGCCTCACAGACTCCTTCGATTCTTATGCCGGTCATGGCCTACTTCGGGGTCATGACAATGAGTCTAATGTGCGGGCTTAGTCCTCTAGACCCACTCACACGAGCTTTCTCTTTGATTTTTCCTTTAATTTTTGGTTGTTTTAAAATTTTCTTAATTAAGAATTTTTAGGCAAAACTTATGGAATATCGAGTGTTGTTATTTGTGTTTTTTGCACAGTCACGATGAAAATAAAAAAATATATAAAAAATCATTTTTATATTTTAAAATTGACATATATTTTAGAATATATTACTCTTATCATGTAAAATTTATTATTTGAATTTGATATTTTTTTTTTATGAAAATCCTCATCTAATTAATATTTTTTAATAAAATTATATTTGCTAATAAATATAATTTAATTTTTTTGCATGTTTGAATTTAAAACAAAATTATTTTCTCTTTTTTTAAAAAAATAAATTGATATATATATATATATATATATATATATTGTATTCTTAGAATTTTTAGATGACTCGTTGCTTATATATAAATATATAATTATTTTAATCTAAAATGTTAAAAATGGATTCCGGATAATTTGTCTTAATCCACTAAGTATGGTCAAAACTTATAAAGAAAAACTATTGAACCATCGGTTTTATTAAAAATTAATTATACATATTCACACATAACATCAACTATTTGTTATAAATATTTTTTTTATAGAATCAATTTATTTGAAATAAAAAATTAAAGTAATTTTTTAAAAAAACCTCTCAATTATTCAAATACAATTTTTTATTATAACATTGTTGATTATTTTGTAAATAAATATATATAGATCAAATACATATACTTTCAAAAAATAATCTCATCACCATTGAATAAAGTAAAAATTTAATTTTTTTGTTAGTTAATTTTTATCTATGCTTATATATTAATTGTAACTTTATTCTTTTGAATACATTCTTATGGAAAATATTTTTTTAAAATATTTTTTAATTCTTGATTAATATTTTAATTTAAATTATTATAAGTTTTTATTTTAGAATCTATGCATCAAGAAGAATAAATCATGTTTTTAAAATATAAAATTTATGAAAAACATAAAAAACGTAATTAAATAAAAAATATAATAAAAAATTTATAAAATTTTAAAATAATTTTGTTCTGTTCGATATGTAGCATAATACTGGTAATCGGCTAGTTACAAGCCTGAATTGTTTAAAAATTAGGCTTTATATAGGATAACAATGGGACATTTTAGAAAGAATAGGAATGATATTGAAAAATTTAGAGACACACGAATATAACATGGAGGATATGGACAAAATTAAAGTTCAACCAAAAATTTTACTCCAAAAGAAACCGAACACATCAGAGCCACAGGTCGGATAATTCTATTTTAGCCCGCAGAGCCGTGTGTTGAGCGTGCCCTTCTTCATCGCGATAGCCGCCTCCATTTTTTTTTATAAGGACAAGACAGGGCAGAACCAAACACAGCACTGTTGCTGCCTTTAAAAGCTAGCAGAGCAGTAGTTTTTATCGTCAAACGTTGTCTGTCATGGCTTCCTCTACCATTTCCCCATCCTTCATCACCAAAAAGGTCAATATTTTTTATCACAATCTTCATGCTTTTTACTAATTTTGTCTTCTGTTTCAATTACTATGCACTCAGCTTCGATTTGTTTGTTCTTTTCTGATGCAGAAGGATCTTGGTCGCTCTGGTTTTTCTTCTTCATCATCAACCATTTCCATTCCCAAATGCAAGAAACCAATTTCAAAGAAAACTGTATCGGTCATGGCTCCTCAGCAATCAGAGCGAAGGCCTGCCACAACTGGCTCGGTTAGCTTCTTTTTACTTTGCTTATTCGTTTTCCTATAGCCATTTTGATGTGGTGCTGATTAGGTGACGTTAAGTTTTTTATTTTTTTGGTGAATTTGTAGGTCAAGACTGCATTGACAATGACAGAGAAAATCTTGGCTAGAGCTTCTGAGAAGCCCCAGTTGAACCCAGGTGAGAATGTTTGGGTCAACGTTGATATCTTGATGACCCATGATGTTTGTGGGCCTGGTTCTATTGGGATCTTCAAGAAAGAGTTTGGAGAGGATGCTAAGGTATTCAATTGTTTTAGACTAGCTTTTTTGCTTTGCAAGTAGTTCTCGGATTCCTTTTTTAAAAAAGAGGGCACTTGAATGGGCTCTTGTTGTTTTACTAGTTGATAAGTTGATAAATTTGAATGAATTGTGTGATTTAGTTTGGAATTCTTAGTGTGAGTGCAAAACAAGTTGTGCATTATATCATGTGTTTCCTATAATATAGCTATATATATATTCTAAGCAGAGCCTAATGCTTTGGAGGCTTTGTTTTCTTGAATGTTGCATGAAACACCGAACTGATTTGATTTCCATTTGATGGCTAGAAACTCCATTTATAGCTTCAGAGGTTTCAATAAATTGCAACCGTTGTTTATTTTTACCTTATTTTTTCCCATTTAACATAAACTTTGCAACCCTTGAATTCAAGAACTGACATTATTAATATTCTGACTCTGTGTGTGTGTGTGTGTGTGTGTGTGTATGTTTGTATTTCTAGGGTCCTCATTTTGCTGTGCTCCAAAGTACCTACTTGACTCACTCTTTAAAAATTGCAGGTTTGGGACCGGGAAAAGGTTGTTATTATACCAGACCACTATATATTCACTAAGGAAGAACGTGCAAATCGCAATGTGGACATATTGAGAGATTTCTGCAATGAACAAAATATAAAGTACTTTTATGATATCAAGGATCGTAGTAACTTCAAGGTATGGTTCGACGAAAATGTGCTCAATTAATAATTTGTATACATTTAAGTGATGAATTTGTGATTACTGCTATTTTCTGACATTGAATGTCCATATTACTTTGTCACTTTGCAGGCTAACCCTGACTACAAAGGTGTATGCCATGTTGCACTTGCCCAAGAAGGTCATTGCAGGCCTGGAGAGGTGCAATTTTTTACCCTTATAGAGTTGTCAAATTTACCATTTATATTCAAGAAAGCCAGTAATCATGCATTATGACCTTCAGGTCCTGTTAGGGACAGACTCACATACCTGCACTGCTGGAGCATTTGGCCAATTTGCAACTGGAATTGGCAACACTGATGCTGGTTTCGTATTAGGCGCTGGGAAGCTCCTCCTCAAGGTTTGAAAAATTGATCTTTTATGTTTAATCCTTATTTTTTATATTTAATAGGGTGCATGAAATTTGCGATTTTAGGTTCTTTCTTGAGATGAGCTTTTCTTATCTTTGTTTTCTTTTTTTCCGTATTTGGATAGCATGAACTCATCCATGATACTATGAACTACTTTTGCAAAGCTTATTCTACTTCTAGAATTTGAGGTTTTGTCAACTTGAATACAAATTTGCATCAAGGATGAACCTACGCAGGTTCAAGCTATTATTACTTTATTAATTGTTGGATAGTTGTATTTGTTATAAAGAATATATCCACCAAACCTTTTGTTCCCTCAGAAGAGAGCAAGGGTCATTTTTTCTTTTTACCTGAATTGAGAATTTGTAAGATGTCTGATGGTTCCAGAACATGCAAATTGCAACATGTTGAGTTTCCAACTTGTTCACATGATGGTTCCAGAACGACTAGCTGGCAATTGGTACAACGGGCTAGATTTAAATATCGAAACAAACTAGGTTCTAAAGGGCTGTTGGCGTGATGGGTTTGACAGTGCAGCGATTTTATTTTTGTGAGAATATTGTGGTTTCTTCTTATGACCTCATATGTCTAGGATACATGCTTTTCCTTTTTCCCCTCGTAACTCCTCATGCCCCCTTTTGCCTGTCAGCAACTTGGTGGTTTTGATTCCTAGTTAGGAATCAAATTAATTCTATTTGAATTAAGTCATCAACCTGTTCTGTTCATTCCTTGTGTATCTTTAAACTGCAAATAGCAGGTGCTTTCTCTACGTTGTAGCACCTGGACGTTCTAAAAGTCAATATAAGCCATAGTTCTCAAAAGCACAAAGAACTTGACATTTGAGGAGGGTTAATCAAACTGTAAACTCTTATATACAGTCTGTGGTTTTCATATTTTTTCAACTTGTAAATGTGTTAAACTTGACATTTCTAGAAATTTATGTTCTCATCTGGATTTAATTGTTTGTGTTGTTGCCAACTTTATTTGCCTATGATTTCTTGCTTCTTAAATCTGCAGGTGCCCCCAACTCTGAGATTTGTTATGGATGGTGAAATGCCTGATTATTTGCTTGCGAAGGATTTGATTTTGCAAGTAAGTTTACTTCGGTCTTAGGCATTTGTTTCTTTCAAATTGCTGCCAACATACACTTAAAAAATATTAACTTCTTTTTCTGTATCAATTGTATGGTGTTTATTGTCACTGCAGATTATTGGTGAAATATCTGTTGCTGGTGCCACATATAAATCGATGGAGTTTGTTGGCACAACTGTTGAAAGTTTAACTGTGAGTAACCTCTAGCGTCTTTAGGCGAGCAATATGTGGTCCTTCAGGTTCTATCTATGATAGTTAAATTGCACGTCAATTGAATTTTTTTTATTGTTCTGATTGTCTGTCTTTGATATAGATGGAAGAGCGGATGACATTATGCAACATGGTTGTTGAAGCTGGGGGAAAGAATGGTGTTGTCCCTGCTGATAATACTACATTCAAGTACCTTGAGGTTTGTCTTGCTGACTTTTTTATGGACTGTTCATCTTGGCTTAGGTTTTCTTTGTTTACATTATAGATGATATTTTCTTTTGCATGATGCAGAGCTATTTTGCCTAGAAAGAGTTTACAATGTTATCTTTTGTTGTGCACAGGATAAAACATCTCTGCCCTATGAACCAGTTTATAGTGATGCGCAAGCAAGGTAAGTTTGTGTAACTAAATGTTTGCCAAATAATAATTTTTTATGTTATCAGGGGTCTCTTTTTAATCCGAGGCAGTTATAATTCTTATTGTTTTAGTTATGCTATGATGTTTTGAGAATATGTTTTTGACTGACTGGTTTCTTCATTTCTTTCGTATTGGAAATTGAAGTAGGTTCTGAAAAAATCTGCTCGATGAAACTACCTTAGACGATCAAAGTATTGACTCATTCTTAACAGAGCTTATAGGGTGGTAAATTGGGGCTTCCCAGCTGAAAATAGTCATCAAGAATCTTTACTTAGTCTGGCTTTCTGTTGACATTAAAATGGGATCTGTAATAATAAAGAAAAATGCTCACATATATGTACCGTTTGTAGGAAATTGGTCGTCCTATATCAAAATTCTGTTTAGATTCTGGATCAATTTTGCTATAAATTGTTAACTGAAGTAATCTAAGGTAATCAAATTTTGTAATTTGTGATATGGATATCTAAAGTTATGGCATTGAGCATATATAGATTGACTTGACATTTGTTACTTTAAGGCTGTCTTTAGCTGTGTTTTACTTCAGGGACTCAGTGCTATAATTTGGTGGTTTGGAAGCTTTTATACTGATTTGAATTCAAAGGTCATTGAACACTTTATTGCTGGACCGTGACATTAACTTTATTATCATAATAGGTAGTCACTGCTAGAATATTCATACGTTGTTTCTGTGTTGTGATTTCGGTTTTCATTTATAGTGATGGCATATTTCTTGGCTTCTAGATTTCTTTCAGAGTATAGATTCGATATCCCAAAATTGGAGCCAATGGTTGCAAAGGTGGGTGATTTAAGTTTGAGTTTGTGGATTCTTGTTTTTATTTTTTTTTATCTCCCAAAAATTACAGTGGGTGACAAAAACTTCTATGGACCTTTATTGATTCTCTCACAAAAGCTGTTGCTATCTCTTAGTTCTTGGAGATTTGTCTGTTTAACATTGAAGAAGTGATGGAGTCTTTGACCTTTGCAGCCTCACTCTCCTGATAATCGTGCTTTAGCAAGAGAATGCAAAGATGTCAAAATTGACAGAGTATATATTGGATCTTGTACTGGTGGAAAAACAGAAGACTTTATGGCTGTAGCCAGAGTTTTTCTAGCTTCTGTAAGATCCATATATCTATTTTATTTATTTTTATGATGTTATTGCTGCTGGAGTGTCAGATTGTTGTTTCAACACATCTTAAAGTTAATGGAAGCAGCAACTGAAGAAGAAATTTAGCCGTTATTTTTATAATAATTTCAATTTGGTTTTGTCGGACTTCTATTCATGTGGGCTTCAATAGAAGTATAAATTGTATCGTTTCCTTAGGTTGATATTGATTCCTAATTAGATTGGGCTTCAAATTTTTTTTTTCATTTATGGATATTGGGTATTTTTATTAGGATTATAGTCATAAATCTGTGCAGTTCCTACTGTGGTTATCAGGTAAGTTTGTTGAATCTAGAATCTTCTAGGAATAGTCTTTTTTTGAGTTCTAAGTTAGCCACCCATGGCACATTAGTTGTAGTCTTGATCATAGAAAACTAAGGAAAGCTTGGTTCTATAAACAACCCCTCATGTATTGATTTCTAAAATCTAACCCATTGCTAGTGCTAGTAACCTTTCTCTGTTCTCCATCTATAAAAATTTGAATATCTTTCTTCCTCCATGGTATACTCATTTATGGTGGCAAAGCTGGATTGTCATCTATGTAAAATTTGAATATCATTCTTCCTTTACACTCATTTCTGCTTGTTAATTAGTATGGTCTTCTATGGTTAACTGCATCTGCAGCATGCTAATGTGCTTGGAATTGATATGAGTTTATAGTTCTGCGCGTTTGATTTTAGGGTAGTGGCAGTTTTATCTTTCTCACAAATAGTAGACTGTGTTTTACACTCTGAGATTTGGTTTCCCCGACATTGATTTTCATCCCTCTTCTTATACTTAATTTATCCTTTTGCTTTTTTCCAGGGTAATAGGGTCAAAGTTCCCACATTTCTTGTCCCTGCTACCCAGAAGGTTTGCAATACTGATTAACTGTGTCTTTAAATGTGTGGATTAATTGCAGAGGAGTTTGTTATACATGTAACATTACATATTCTTATCGTAAATTTACAGGTTTGGATGGACATATTTACTCTCCCAGTACCAGGATCTGGTGGCAAGACTTGCTCCCAGATTTTTGAAGAAGCTGGTTGTGACACACCTGCAAGTCCTAGTTGTGGTGCCTGTTTGGGAGGCCCTAAAGACACTCATGCTCGCATGAACGAACCTTTGGTACGTTATTTTTTCCTCATACTGGTACATCTTAGTAACATGTATAGGTTGACCACTCTGTCTTCTAGAGTTTGTTTCCTGATTCCTGCTATAAGCTCTGGAACATAGTGTGCTGAGAATTGTGGCCATGGCCTCTACCTACTGGTCATGACCTGGATGTGCAGTTCCAGGATCAATTGGGAAAGATTGTTTAGTAGATATGTTCAGATCATTCTTGCTTCCAGGTTCTAACTACCTCCTAGTAACTACTCCATCACCTCAGCCCAAAATAGAGCTGTTTTGTCTGTTCTTGTCCCAATTGCAGTGGCTACCATAATGGAATTGCATTCTTTTTAACAGATCATACAGGCGTTCTGAAAATGGGAGGCCATGCTGGACCACATTTATAATCAGATAACTATGAAGAAAAGCTTTATCTGAGTATTGGCTTATTTAGGCCTTATTTGATTCCAAAGAACAATTTGAAGGGAAATGCTGAATGTTGCGTTGTTTCTTGACCTTTTTTCTTCCCTTGCTTTCCCTAAAAATCATCCTGAACCAGACTGTTGGGCTGTTGTATATAAAAATCTAGCGGATGATTATTTGACCAGTCCACTAGAAGTTACCCTTATGCATCACTAATAATTGTCTACCATGTGTACTTCTGTGTCATATTTTGACTTGGAAAAGAATAAGGGAGGCATTTATGTTGTTCAGATTTCTGTTAACCACTGCAAGGGCTTTATCGTTGCAGGTCTGTGTCTCGACAACAAATAGGAACTTCCCTGGTCGAATGGGACACAGGGAAGGCCAGATATATCTTGCTTCTCCTTACACGGCGGCAGCATCTGCTTTGACTGGTTATGTCACTGATCCACGAGAGTTCTTGCAGTAGGCTATTGATGTCAGGTTACATTGTACACAAAACTGTACTGTAATTTAATAGCTAGGGAGAATAAATATTTGGCTCTATTCCAAGTCCTAAAACTTCTAGCATGTGTTAATCGTAAAGCTGCTTTGAATATAACATGTTTACTCGAGGTGCGTGTCACACTTTTAACCATTTTGAAGAGTTCTTGGACGAGGGATTGTAGTACGGAATAAATATGTTGCTTGTAATCGCACTTTCACCCGATTTTAGTTTGAGCAACTGTTTTGAGTATTTTATTTCATACGATGATAATTTTATTTCGTGAATGAGTCTTCTCATTTGTTTTTAGGACAAGACTGAAACAGGACACACAATCCGTTCTACTAACCAGTTGAATTAATAATATTTCCTTCATATTTATAGACACACGAAGCATCTTTTTGTGTCATAGAGAACACTTGTAAGACAATGGTTAGACCTGTTATGATGAACATTAGAGGATGGGCTAAGTTATGGTTATCTGGGTATGGGTATTATTGCGACATGCAAGACAATTTCAATGGCGTTGGTTCAACTTGAAACCGTTCGATTGCATTTCATGTAAAGCATACATGGAAAGGAGGGATCATTTAGGCCTCACTTGGTGACCAGCACTGAAATGAGTCAAATTAACATGTTGCAGTCTCAGTTCTGTATCCTGCACTCGTTCATGATCACCATGTTACAGATTTGTTGTTTTTTCCTACATTTTAGTACAATTACCAAACGGTGGGCCAATCTGCAGTGTGTTAAAAGCTGGGAAAAACGCAACATCTAATAAATATACTTGTACTCAATTTAAATGTCTCAGCTCTCAGATGGACAGAATTGTTACTTTACTCTCTCCACCTATCAAGGCATTCCTAAGATTGCAGTGGAACCAGGAAATATATGTATATATAGATATGAGATGCTATTAGTATTTACTGGAAAGCTTTCCAGCTGTAGGGTTCCAAGGCTATTATCGGTCGTGTAAAGGCTTGAGCCTCGAAGCTCTCCATGAATCCAAGTATGACAAAGTTTGGGAGACAAAAGTTAAAGAATGGACCTTTAGATGGTGGGTCAAGTGATGAACTGATTGAGAAAAGGTTAAAAAGAGGCCACCAGTCTCCTCCACAAATACAAGAGATCTTTTCACCTCGCTTTGCAAGATGTGGGAACCAGCAAGAAAATCCTCAGAACAGTTGAAAGAACCAAGCACGAGCCCTTTCGCTGACGAGGATTTTCATGAATAGTAGTAGTATACAGTTGTCCCGTCATCTATTACTACCATAAAGGAAAGTCAATATGCTAATGGATCGCACCATTAATCAAATATTTAGTAATCTGCAGTCAAAATCAAAATGATTGCAAATCTAAGACATCAAGTTTGTCTCAATTTTTGGGGCAATATCTCTTATACCAGATTTCACTTATTGGCTTACATGCACTTGAACCCAGGTCCTTTTGTTTTTAGTTCTTCTCTGTTTTTTGTATTCTTTTTTCTTTCAAAAAGATAAAAACAAAAAACAAAATACTCCATTAACTTGTTCCAGTCAAAAGTTTAGCATGGAGTAAAATTTTTATCTGCAAATGGAAAGGACAGGACTCAAAGTCAGGCTTATCATGGAGTAATGTTTTCCCCTTCAAACAAGAGAAAAATTTTCACCAAAGACTGCAACTAGGCTATTAAACATGTTCTTCGTCACCTACTGGTCAAATTGCAGTTGCAGCATTGTTTTGGTTACATGAAAGTCAGATTTACCAAAAGAAAAGACTAAATTTGCATCATGTATTTTATTGCCAGGTAAAATTCACCTCACTGATTAAGTCAATTTTTTTATGTTTCTTTGACCATTTTCCTGTTTTGTCAAGTTTCCAAATTGATACATAATTCCAACCACCTAGCTCTTAGTAAAATTTATTGATCAGCCCATCAGTATACCATGTGCCATGCCTTAGTGTTTTACGATTGCTGCGCTTGAAAGAACGTGATGAATAAAAAATATCTTCTGCTACTTAAAGAAAGTTTGGGAATGGATTTTACAATTGATGGTGGCCAGTCAACTGTCAGAATTGCATTTTCGAAATTTAATGGTGCCTCAAGTAACACAGTTGCACCAGCTCATAGGAAGGTTAGAACAACTTGAAGAGTACGTTTTAGCCAGAAGAAGTAGGATCAATGCATTTATGGCAAGCCGTAAGCATACAATCAATGGATTAAAGTATAAATATGTCAAAAACATGGCCAGCCGATACCATGAAAATTTCAAGCATCAAACCACACAAACACTAAATTGAGTCCACTAGATTGCAGCAAACTCCACTCTAGATATCAGGTACTCCCATATTTACAGTATGAGAAGCAGTCAAGCATGCTATGCCGGTATGGCAGCACCATATAAGATGAAAAAAGGAAGAAGCTAAAATGAATATCGCCTACAAAAAAACAAAACCCAGCTAGAACCAGATACTGGTTCATTAAAAAACAAGAAAGGGCAGTAAAAAGAAGGAACAACCTTAGCAAAATATTCTGATTCATCAACTTCTCTACTTCGTCTTCTGTTTTCAAGCAGTGAGTGTCTCCATATTACTGGAGTTTAAAATGCTGTGGAAGCGGTGGCTAAACAGGCTTGCTTCTTTGTTTCTCATTCCTATCCTGGAATCTTGGAGCTGCAATTGATTAAGCAGTCTCACAGCGTCAGGAGAAGCAAAAAATAAGTGGAAAACTAGCAAGCAAACACAGAAGCAGTAGATTGAATATTTTGCATACCAAGTCCATTGGCTTCTGACGTCCTCATGATTCGAAGCCTTTTTACAGAGGTTGGGAACATCCTGAAAAGTAAAAAAAAAAAAATTGTAAAAGAAACCATGCAAGAGCATTAGAAATTGAGCGCTCGAGCTATGCAATTTTTTCCTATTCAGACAGGAAGGGGTGGTGGAGTTTGCTCAGGAGTCAGGAGTTCTACATTCTCTCTGTCAGCCAGGTTTGACAACTGAGAACTGATAAGACATAATACATAATTCAGCAGATGGAATTATGTTCATCAGTGTGAAATCTCAGCCGCTGAAACCAAACATCTTAATCCATATTTATCTAGAAAGTGAAACGTTACGCACACCACTTAGCTTAGTATGTGGCGTGAGCCTGTGAGGTAGGCTTCGTTCACTATCATGAGTGACAGCTTATTTTGCTGCTCCCCACTGATTGTCTCAATTGACAAGTTTGTCAAGAAACATTGACACAGGCACACCTGTCTGTTCACCCACCCCACCACCTCCTTTCATCTCTCCTGATTAGTAATATGGATTTATGGTTAATGATAGTTTCATACCCCCATGGAACATCTCCCACAAGCATCCAGTCTCCCTCTTTATCTTCATATGTGAGCACGAACTCAGATGATCCGTCCAATAGCTTAGAGGGCTTTGTTACTTGTTGCTTCTCTCCACCTGATACTTTATACACAATCAGCAAGTTAGTACAGCATAAATACTGGCATTTAAACAAACCAAACTAGTTTTTCTTGTGTTTTTTAAGCAATCAAACTAGTACAATGCAGCACTTATTGTCATTTGCAACGGAAATTATACCAAGTTTATCGTCAGCACTTTTATCAGGCAGGGAATCTGTAAACTTCATATAATTTTCATTGCAATTGATGAAAAGAAATCTGCGGTGGGAAAAAAATGAAACCCAAGATTTCATGAGACTTCAAAATTAAAATAGAGAAAGAAAGGCCACCAACTCACCGATGGAATTGATAGTTGTGGTGGACCTGAAAAACATTTCCTCTAACGCCTGGGCTAACGTCTCATAGCAAGCATGAGCATTCAAATCTACCTTCCTTCCAATTGGAACTCCATCCATATTCACCTTGACAAATCCAAGATGCCCCTTTTCATTACCAGTAACATTGGCCTTGTTACCATTACAAATTTTCTTCTTCAAATTATCCTTAGATTTATCCTTCTCACCAATTCCCTTGTCTTCTTCAGCTCTTGCAGCCTTTGCTTGGTTCACCAAGCTGTTCATCCGATAAGCCCTTATAGGTGGCCACCCCACAACCTGACTGCTCCCGGAAAGCAATTTAATATAATCAGAAATTTAAACCATCAAAGGATAAATTAATGAACCATGAAGAGAAGATATTAAGTTTATACAGACAAATCAATTCCCTATGAGCAGGCAAGATATATTATTATTAACAAAAACAAAATTCAAATTTTTCTTTGGGGACAAAGGAATAAATATATATAAATCAGAGAATCGTAGGCAAATAAATGTTTAAAAAATCATGACCAACTAAACAGATAAAGGAAAAAACAAGGGACAAGAGAAGACATCAAGTTTTAGTACTGCAAAATGAAGAACCAAACCATTTACATAACGACTTGCTTAACAAAATATAAAAATCAAGCAACGGAGAGAAGTTAAGGAAAAAGTGAAATTTTATGCATATATACTTAGTTCTATGACAGAGTGGTAAGAAAATGAGAAGATTAAAGAAACCCCTTACGCCAGAAAAAAGATAATACTATTAGAGATAACAACAACGTAAAATCACCAGGAAAGAAAATACTATCAAACTATTCAATTTCACCTGACGTTTTTAGTAACCGAACATAGCAGGAAAAAAAAAAAAAAAAAAGAAATCTGAAGAAGAATAAAAAATAACAAGGAATGGAGTCGCCACCTGCCAGCAGTGGGGGATCCACCCTCATGGGAGACAGAGTCAGCAGCTCTCTTAGTCCCAGAAACAGCACCAACAACACAAGCAGAAGGTATAGAACTGTTGTTGTTGTTTTTGTTAGGCCTGTGAGGTTGAGAAACCACCGAAGGAAAGTCCTTGGCGGTCAAGATTCTACCACAATCACCCCATGCATTTGCCTTACCCTTCCCTCCACCGCCACCACTACCAAGACTCAGCCCCAGGCCCAACTCCAGCTCAGCTTCCACTGGATATGAACTTGCCTCAGCCTCCACCACCTCCAGTTTTGACATTGTGGACTCATTCGGAGAACCACCACCAACAAGTAAACCAAGACCACCTTCCATCACCAAGATACAGTCTTTGCGTTTCCAAGATTCAAGAAAAGGTAAAAGAAGTGTGCTTTTTCAAGATACAGTCTTTGCGTTGCAGTATAGGAGATGAAGAAAAAGAAAAAAAAATAATAGCAGCACTAGTCATCCAGGAATTAGGAGGGAAAGGGAAGGTAAGTTGTAGCTAGGGGTGGAAGGGAAGGTGGTGGAGGGAGTGATGACTGTAGGGCCCACATGTCTGGTAGTGCGCCAAGCACTCTCCGCACAGGTCCACAACACACACTGTCAATTTTTTCTTGACATGATCATCATGTCTCTTTAGAATCTGATTTTCTCTGTTAGTACACAAAATTAAATGAAGAATTCCCACCCCGAAACAATAAAGAAAAAACAAATTTCCTAGGCTACGATCATTTTTAATTCATGAATTTTAGACTAGTCAATTATAAACTAGTCCTTCTAGTTTTCTAAAAGAAATTAAATAGTGCATCTGGTTTTAATAACTAATCAATTAGTTTCTATATTTTTAAATATATTTGTAAATTAATCCTTTTTTTTCCTTTTCAAGTTATTTGGTGTTTTTTAATGCATAGAAAAAGAGAAAAAAAGTAAAATATAAAAATATTAATGAGAAAAAAGACTATATTTTTAAAAAATTAACAATAATCAACAATAGTTAAATAGCTAAATAATTGATTTTTTAAAACAAGATAGATTATTCATTAAAAAAAAAAAAACTAGAGGAACTAATTTATAATTTACTCAATTTTAGACAACATCCAAAAGTTTCAACATTTGACAAATACCCTCACCGTCCTTATGTTTTTTTAAAAAAATTAAATAAACCTCATTTTATACCCAAAACGTCTTAATCAAATATTACTTAAAATAAGATAGTTAAATTAAAAAAAAATTAGAGAAGGAATATATAAAAAGGGCATTGTTATTTATTTTATAATTACGTCATGAACAATATTAATTACACCTATAATTTCCGTGAATTCTGGCTTGATTTTTTTAATATATTTTTTCTAATTTTTTAGTACTTATTAAGGACAATTATATGTATAAGGTTTTTGTCAAATTTTTGAATAATTTTTTTAATTTAATATTTTTTTTTGTCATAAATAGAAATTTACAGTCCATATCAGTTGTTAGATTTTCGAGAGTCAACGCTTGAATTTAGAAGTTAGCAAAACATGAAAGAGAGTAGTATTACCTCGACGGACTAATCTCCAGTAATTAAAAAAAAAAGAAAAAAGAATCCATTCATAAGACTTGTCAATTGGATTAAGGGGTCATCAAATTAGAAATAATAAGAGAATGTGTAGGTCATTAAACGGTGTTTTAGTACACTTATAAATATAGTATACTACTTAATTACCTTATTTTCGTTCGTGAGGGAAACGAAAATCATATTGGTAAAAATACAAATATTAGTAACCAAGGAAAGGAATTCGACTAGGAAAAGTGATCCACAAAGAGATTCAGGTGAGGTTCTATTGATTGTTCGTGTTAACCTTCACAATTACTGCGAGCAGCTTTCAATTTGTGTTGCTACAACCACTATAAACATAAAAAGTTTGCGCTGCTACAATCACTATAAAGATAAAAGGCTACTGTGACTTTTTTTTTAAGCTCAAACACTAAAAATTGAGGATTTGAATACGCAATACCTTAGAAGAGCAAGAAATTCATTATCATTGTACCAAAAACCTATTGATTTTTCAATTTAATATTGCTGCAAAGGAGTTATTTTGACTTATTGAGTCATTAGAATCAAATTTTATTCATGAAATCTAGCTACTTGAGTGAATTTATCAGTAAATAAAACAAGGGCCTTTTTTCTTTGCAGGAGACTTTCTAAAAGTTTAGCATTAGTTCTTGAACATCCCCATTAGTTGGGAAAGAAGTTTTTTTTTTCAAAAAAAAAATCATCACCAAAGGCATAACTATTGCATTCGGCTCTCTCAATCCCATACAGACTTTATGACAGCAAATTAAATGCCCACTACTTAATGCATAAGAAATGTTGATTTTTTTTTTAAAAAAAGAAATCATGGAATAAAGTAATTTCATCGAGCAAAAATATTGCAATATATGCCTTTATTTTCAAAACCTAATGGTAATTCAATATAAATTACAACTTACTACTGCTTTGTTTTGCAAAATATCCTTTTTATGAGGAAAATACTTTTATGTGAAAAAATTTTTCTCAAAAAATAAGTTTTTTTTTTATTGTTTGGATGTATTAAAATTTTTTTGTAAAATAATTATTTTTCATTGATAGTTTTTGAATTTTCATGATAACAAAAGAAAAGTTGTGATGTTGACTAATAAAAATTAATGATGGGGATGAGACTATTAGTGATTATGATACTAGTATTTATAATAGCAGTAGTGATCATAATGGTTATAAGATGATAGTTGTTGTGATACCACTAATAAAATGATAGTTATAACAATTACTATTTTAAGAATTAAGAGATGAAAGTGACAACAACGGTGGCGACGAGGATTATAACTAGCGTTAGTGATTGTTACTTTGATACTAATGGTGTTAAAATGATATCGATTATGGTAAAAATAGTGATGAAATGGTGATTGTATTGATAACTAAATAGCAATAGTAGTGGTGATGAAAGTTTTGGATTTGAAATAATGGTTGTTATTGTGATTACGACGATGTAAGTTGATGATTTTGATGGTTGTTATTGTAGTTAGGTGGTGTAAATGGAGGATTATGATGGAATGTGATAAGGTAGTGGTTTTAACGGTGTTGATGGTGCCCGGTGACAATGGAATGGTGATGGTGGTATTAGTAGTGGCTATTGATGTGGTTTAGCTATGGTGTTATTGAATATTATGGGTGAGCAGTGTAAAAAAAAAAATGAAGTTAAAATATTTTCTTCTAAATTGACACTATTTAGAAATTGATTGGAAAACATTTTCTATTAACTTATTTTTTTAATATTTGTTTCATACTAAAAAATGGAAAAAAAATTATAAAAAATATTTTCCACAAAAAACACATACTCTTACCAATAAAAAAATAATAATCTAACAAATAAAAATAATATTAATATTAAAATATGATCTTCATATACGCCAAGGATCTTTTAATAAACCTAAATTTCGACTATATGATTTTATCTAAAGAGAGCTTTTGAAAGTAATAGTGTTGTTTCAATTTATGGATATAGAGAATAAAGAGAGTGTTCTTTTGGCTAAATTGGTTTTTTTAAAAAAAAAAGAAGAAGAATTGGAATGACAATGGGTAGATATCCGATTTATTAATTTAATTTTTAACCTTATCCATAAAAAGAATATAATATCTATTATCTATTAAGAAATCACCACATAAATATTATCTCGCTCCATATTAATTTATTCGTTCATTTAGTACACATTTAATAGATGCTAAAAATAATTTATCAAAAATATTTCATTTTGATAATTATAATTTTTAAGAAAAGTTTTTTAGGTCCTCTAACTTTAATTATTTTTACATTTTGGTCATTTTTAATAAGTTTTTTTATCCTCAAAGTTTTTAGAAGAAAATATTTCTCTTTTGTGTACAGGAGCTGCAAGTTTTTTTTTTTTTTTGTTAGTTAGAATTCAATCATAAAATGAAATCTGTTTACCTTATATTTGATAAAGCAACAAGTGTGCTGTGATGTTCAAAACCCAAATTTAGATAAACAATAGTATTCAAGTTTAGAAATTTTATATCATACTAGGAGTAATTAGTGGTATGTACGGTAGGTACTCCATGAATCTACTTTGAAGAGAGAGATAGACATAAAAAAAATTACATCCATATCTATAAAAAATGATAAAAAATTTTCGATGTCCGTTCAAATTTTTTTATTTTCTCCTCTTTATCTTCTTCTTCTTCTTCTTCTTCTTCTTCTTTTTTTTTTTTTTTTTTTTTTCTAAAATGACTCAGCCACTTATCCTTAAAGTATATCAAAAGTGTACTTAGCCTATCGAAGAACTTGAATAACTATTTTGTCTTTATCTTGGAGTTGAACATGCAGCTGAAGTTATCGGTTTTCATAGACAAAGCCAAAGACTTTTTCAATGGCCTCCCGAATTTCATGAAATGTTTTTAAACCTACGACATAAGTGAAGACCATTTCAGAAATAGAGGAAAGCATCTATTAAGGAAAAAAAAAAAAAGTTAGTCCTTTTGAAACCATTCTTCATGAGCAGGATTGAGCTTGATAGCTGAGTACTGGAATTAGGTCAATGGATTAAATTATTATGGTAATATAATCTTATATGTTTTTAAAAAAATCAAAATATATTAATAGAGTATTAATGAAGTGAATACTCATATCCCGAAACAATATTAGTAGATATATATATATATATATATATATATATATATATATATATATATATATATATATATATATATATATATTCAATATTTTTAATGATTATTTATTGGATCGAGCAATGTAGATGTCTGTTTTATATGACCTATTACCATCCTCAAATAGGATAACTAATGTATGATTAAAACTAAGAAATGGGTAACAAACTATAATGATTCTAAATAATTTGTAGTAATTTTCTTAGGAATATCATAATGCATGCCTCGTTAATAAGATGGAGGTTGATAAGAAATCTTAAAAAAATTGCAAATTTAGATGATGATGATGATAGTTAAATGGGTATTGATTAAAGAATAACCAAGACTTTAATTCGAGCTTAGGTGTCTCTTAGCTTTAGTGCTAAAGTCTAAAGTTTGAGTCTTTTTACAAGCAAAAGCATATACTAATTAATCTCTACTTCGCTATACTCTTTCCTTTCTTCCAATGTGCTGTCTACTGTTTTATGGACAAACGGCACAAACCCTTGTTTTCGAAAGCTGAGACCTAAAGAGATGCATTATCTATCGGTGGATGGTGGGGCTGCCTGAAAAAAGGTGGAGATAAATAACAAGAAAAAGCATGGCAATACTCTTTATTTAACCAAATATTTATCATTACAAGCCATCTTGAAAGGGACCACCTCTATGAGGTGTGTATTTTGCTGGGCAGAGTTGGTCCAACTCACATCATTATTTAGCAAATAAATGAAGAATTTAATTATTACTGCTGCTATACCTATCTTCTTGGTTTTTCTGTCTTGTCAATGATATTTTTATTCTGTACATGAAATGCCTCTATCGTTAACAGTTAATTAATCTTATAAACAAAAGAATATCACAGCCTAATCCATGTTGAAGAATCTACATATGTATCTTATTTCCTTTCAGTTATTGATGTTACCTAACATAATTATTATTATTATTTTTTTTTTGGGGGGGGGGGGGGGGAAATGCCAACTTGTGCACTATGGAACCAATTAACAACGCCGTGAACGCATCACAGCGGAAGTATCTTATTTATATCTCCACACGAAAATATAAGTAATTCAAGGGCCGGAAAAAGGCAAAAACAAAAAGCTTCAATTATCTACAAACAAGGAGAGTGACAGACCAGGAGTCTTTCCTTATTGGTTTGCCACGTGGCTGCCTCTCATTTTGCATTTTTTTCCCGTTCAATCCTCGATGTTGTTATCAATTTTAGTTTTTTTTTTTTTTTTTGATTGATTGCCAATAGAAAATTTTTGAATCCTCATAAGTCATGTGATTTCATGAGTAAAACAACAGTTACAATGACGGCGTCAAATTCTTCTTCTTCTTTTTTTTAAAGAGAAATGGAAATAACATTAAATACAAGTTGGAAAAATCCTTCAATGCAAATGGCACAATAGATAATAGAATCAGGTACATTTTCATGATTACGAGATCAAATTCTCGAGGAGGAAGAATGTGATGTCTTCTATTCTATCCCATAGTAATTGGCTATAAAGAATTTTATAAAAAATATATATTTAAAAATTTATATGTAATGAAGAATTCTTTCTAGATAATGATATGTTTTCCACTATTTATTTTCTTAGGTGATAAATTGAAATGATCCTCGTAAACAAAATTTAAAATGATTTTTTCAATATTATAAATGTATAAATTATTCTTTTTACCAATTTTTTATTACTTTAGAGTTAATTTGGGACTTTATGCGTATTCCATGTGTAAGTAATTGCTAAGTTATAGAGTATAATTATTAAGCTTAGAATGGTTATGTTTTTTTTAAAAAAAACAAAAATTTATTGCAGTGGAAACAGAAAAATTGCAAATGAAAATTTGTGTAGTTAGTAAGAAAAAAATAAAAATTATAAGAGATCCAATCAATGAGAATTTTTATAGGTTCCACCAATTTTAATGGTATATGATGTTCTATCATCCATCCCTGTGAATCAGCATCACTGAAGATGCATCGCGTTGATAGTGACACAGAACAAAAATAAAAAAATATGAATAAATAAATAAAGAAAACTAATAATAGAGTGGAACTAGAACTAGAAGAAGGCAGGGAATTAATTAGGTGAAGTCAAAATTAATTGGGATGGCAAATCCAAAGATTAGGCAAGGTAGGAGAGGTTGTCTGATACAAGGGACAAGCCGACAAGGTGGGAGCCCATCCACGTTCCTCCAAGCAGCCACCGATTACCACGTCAGGAGACAGGGTACGCGGCTGACTAAGGGATTTATGAGGCAATTTTGGGACCAAAACGTCCTCCCTTGTTTATTAATTGCCTTTTTCACCGGCGACAGCTCGACGCTTTTGGTTAAAAGGAATAAATTATAAATCAATACTTTTAGTTCCGAAAAACGATTTAAATACTTCCTCTTGTTTTAAAAATATTTAGTTTTTACATTTTTAGATTTTTTATGATTTAATTTATTTTTAATTTTAAAAAATAGAAAAAAAATAAGTAAAAATTAATAAAAAAATATTTTTAAAATAAATTAATATTAAATTAAATATGATTAACATTGATTAAGAAATTACATAACTTTTTTTTGAAATAAGAGAAATAATTAATTCATTTCTCAAAAATATAAGAGCTAATTTATAATTTACTCTTGTTTAAAGCTTGAAAAGAAAAGGATAGCTACAAACCAGTTCCTTATATATATATATATATATATATATATATATATATATATATATATTCCTTAAACTTTTGCTGATTTTTCCTCAATTAGTCCAATTATCCATTGATTGCAAATTTGCAATATATAAAAGCCTTAGCAATGGAGTTTCCTCTCGCTTGATGTAAAACTATTCAAATTAGCATTATTTTATTGCATAAACTATATACATTTAAGATAAAAAAAATAAAATAAAAATCATTAACTAATATAGATGCTAGGGGAGTCAAATGAGAAATTATCAAAGACAAAGGATTAAATGGAAATAATTTTTTAGTTGAAGAATCCAATTGAGAAAGAGTACTTGATAGTTTGGAAGATAACTTTTATATATATATACATTCTCTAATCTCATACATCATTATTATTTTTTGTTCATAAAAAAATTTGTGAATGTTAGAGTACACAATGGAAGGTATTAAGAAAAAAATTAAAAAAACTAATATTGTTACTGATTCAAGACTATTCATTTACTATTGTTTTAAACACGTCTCTTTGAGCCATCTTTTACTCAAATGCATTGTTTGAGCCATCTTTTTCGATTTCAACCGTCTATCAGGTGTGAGCCCTTCTCATAGCCATCCAATCTGCTAATTTGGCACCTTTTAATTTTTTCTTTTCGCCGAAGTGGAGTTATTCATTGGTTTTTATCTCTTGGTTTTTCCTTAATTTTTCTTTTGTCACTACAAAAGAAGCTAAAAACCTTTTGGTTTCACTTTTAATTTCAATCATTGCCTCTTAACGGATTTGTAAAAATTCATACTTGCCCTTATTGATTTTCTTTTTAATTTTCTTCTGTGATTTTTTTTCATCATTTACTTTTCTTTTCATAAAGAACAGTTAATGTTATGTATTTCGTTGCTTTTTTTTTTCTCATTTTCGTAAGAGAAGCAACTTGGTATTCAAGAGTAAATTATAAATTAGTCCCTCTTTTTGAGAACAAATTAATTAGTCTCTCTCGTTCAAAAACTATTTTTTTTTATCATTTTTGCTATTTTCAATTTATTTTGATTTTTTATTTTAAGAAATAGCAAAAGGAATAAAAAATAAGTGAAAATAAGAAAATATTGATGAGGATAAAAGATATTTTATATAAAAAAAAATTAGTCGTGGTCGACTATGGTTATAAGGATTAAGTAATTCGTTTTTTAAATCAAAAGGACTAATTAATTCATTTCTCGAAGTAAGATGGACTAATTTATAATTTATTTTGTAATTTAAGGATCTCTATTATCATTCTTTATAGATGATTTTTTCTTTTTAATAAATATACTGCTATATATCATCGCTATTAAAATTTTAATAGATAACCAATGAAAACTTGATGTGGTATTTCAAGGTTATGTTGGCATGGATAGTTCTTGAAAGTAACAACCATGGTAAAATCACAAATTATACAATAAACTAAAAGAGAAGGCAGCCATGTATTATTTTTTTTTTTTGCTTTTTCTTCAATAATTTAATTAATTTTTTAATTATGGATTTTGAGGTAAAAATTATGAAAGATTGAACGTTATTTTTTGTGTTTCCCATGTAACTTGTTGATAATGAAATATATATGATTTTTAAACGAGATTAATGTAATTGTGTGTGTATGTAAGTGTGTTTTAGATAGTTTGACTTAATGTTTTTAAAAATATATTTAAATAATCAATTAAAAAATATAATTCAAGGGTTTTATTTGTATTTTTATATATAATTAATATTTATTAGAACCAATTTTATAATAGTTTTTATTGACTTCAATATATTCCATGCAATTTAGGTGATTTTTTTATATATTTTTTTATTTATGTTATATATTCCGAATATGTTAAGTACGATCGTAATTTGTGTGCGTGTGTGTCTACATATATATGAATCATTTAGTTTTGTTGAAAATTAATTATCTATTTGCACACATAACATTAATTATTTGTTATTTATTGTTTTTTATGTTTTAAAATCAATATTTTATTTTAAAATAAAATAATTGAAATAATGTTTTGAAATAACCTTTTTCAATTATTTAAATATAGTTTTTTATACTAATATTATTGATTAATTTTTTTAAAATACATATAAATAAAACAATTTTGCTCAACGAATAGATTCGATTTATATTGATTATCATAAATGAGGTTTTTACCCTCATTACACTATATAAATCGTTGATCTTACGTATATAACGGGTATTTAACCACAATATAACATGAAAATCCAACTAGTAATAACTAAATAAAACTAAGGTTACTAGATTGGAACATATTTTACTATAAAAAAATTATCAAATACATATAATCTTCACGTTCGTATGTTTGTATATGTATCATTATTTTGGAGCAGAGTAATTTTTTTGGAATTCTTGGCTATAGATAAGTTGCATTTGGTAGGAGAGGGCCGAGGGAGGAGGTTTAGGTGCTTAGAGTTTCACATTCTCCTCTCATTAGAACAATAGTTCAATTTAAATTCTAAAAAGATAGAATAGTGATTAAAGAAATTTGTTTCATTTTTTGAGTTTGAATCTTGACCCTAGCTTTCAAAATTTTTTATTAAATATTTTTTCAATATATAAAATCAATATAAAAACACATCTTTCAAATCATTTGAAAAAAAAAAGTCTCTATTATCATGTAAATTGACTAGAAAATTTTTTTTTCTGAAAAAAAGAAATGCAATTGAAGCTAAACCTAGTAAGCATTGACCATTGAAATGAGGACTTGGTAACGAAGGTAGCTTTTTAATGGGACCCATAAATGGTGGGAGAAGGGACAATGTCCCTCTAAACTTAGACAACTTACGGCCTTTTTCTGTCTTTTTGAGGGCTACGATTAGTTGGTGGCTATCATTTTTCTTTTGGCTTTTCTCCTCCCTCCCGTCCTACCTAGTTCTTTTTGCCTGCCGCCGTTCCTTCTCTCTCAAAATTAAACCATCTCTCTCTTTTGCCTTGACTCGCTTTTCTAGCTATCTCGTCCAATCAATATTATAAAATAATAATAATAATAATAATAAAAACTATAGAACGGACCTCATTCTTCATTTAAAGTTTTTTTTTTTGGATAATTATAAAAAAAAACCTTATTAAAAAAATATTCTATCTAAAAAACTCATAAATTTATTTTTAAATCTTTTAAACCCAAAATAATGTTTTTCTAACTAAAACATCAAATAATTAACACTAGTGTTAACCATTGGTTATTTTGGTAAGAAAAATATTGTTTTAGGCTTGTGAGATTTAAAAATATTATTTTGTGTTTATGAGATTTAAAAATAAAATAGGAAATTTTTTAGATAGAAGATTTTTTAAAAGGTATTTTGGTAACCATCCTAGTTAAAATGAAACCATTATCTTTCAAGATATATATTTCTATTATGGATGATCATGTTTTATTTAATTAATGCACCAAAATATGTTATATATTCATCTTTTAATTTAATTTAATTGTTTGATAAAAAAATATTGAGTTTTGATTAATTAAAAACTAGTATTACCAATGATTTTCCCCCTATCAATATATTAGGATTTAAGAAATTATTAATGTTTATCATTATACATATTCTTATTTTTCTTATTTGTATGATAACCCTTTGATTAAATTACAAGAGAATAACAAAAGTCTCATTCATCAATATTAATTAGTTAAATTGCATTGGTTGCTATAGTTACTAAATAGTAAAATTAATCTCGTAATTAATGAAACAAATAGTTGATAGAAAAATACCTAATATAAGGAATTTTTTAGTATAATAAAAAAATAGTAGTCAAATGCTAGTGTTTAAAAGTCAAAGAACCTCAAAAACCTTTTTTTTTTCTTTTGAATGCAATTAAAAAAAAAAACTTGACTTGATCATTAAAAAAATAAATAAATATCAAACTCATTAAAAACTATGAAAAGAGTTTATTATTAGAAAAAATCTCTAAAAAATTTTCTATCTAAAAAATTCATCAATTTATTTTTTAAATTCTCAAAGCTAAAAATAAAAAATTATCTTACCAAAAGACCCAATAGTTAATTAGTATTAAGTTGGAGGTTAACTATTGGGTATTTTAGTAAGAAAAATATTATTTTGGATCCGAGAGATTTAAAAATAAATTGATGGGTTACTTGGATATAAAATTTTTTTAGAAAGTTTTTCTGGTAATTATCCCTTTTTTTTTAAAAAAAAAAGTTGGTATGAAAGAAAATTGGTTTCAAGATATATATCCTTCCTATTAAAAAAACAAAAAACAAAAAAGATGATAATACTTTAATTTCAATTGACATATAATTTTTTTTTAATATTTCTTATTATTAAATAAATAAATAACAAATAACTGTAAATCTATGATTTTTTTTTTGAAGTAATCATGAATTTATATATATAAATAAAAATAAAATTAAGAGATAGTAAACGGAAAACTGTCCATGCAGAACCTAAGCAAAACTATCTAAGAGTGCTGGGAAGCCCATCCTCGCAGACACTAAAAAAGTTACTTCAATTTTGAGATTAGCGGGCTTCACAAACTTGATAAGGCTAGAAGAGACTTGACATTAGTGCTTTATTCCCCATCACTTTAGAAAATTTCATCTTTAGGCCTTGAGTGCAAGTGTGTAACAATAGTTGGAGAAAAAGGCCATGAAGCTTAAACAGATGTCATGAAGCAAGAAAGAAAAATGTATTTGGAGTTCGAACCACTTATGTAATTACAAAAAGAAAAGTGTATTTTGATCTTTAAAAAATTTCTTACTATTTATACTCGTGAAAAATTAATTACCAATATGGATGATCTGAAAAAGAAAAAGACAAAAACTCAATAAAATAGAAATAAAATCAAGTAACTAGGTCTAGGAAAGTTTTTGCTCGGATCTTAGGGAATCCGCTTTCTATAGACATGGAAAAAGACGGAGAATGTTTATCAGAAAGACCTCCTACCTCTTCCTCTCCTTTATATCGCTAGCCAAGTGATTAGATTCATGTTTCAAATCACAGTCCCACTCATTTCTTATCAACCCATTTCCATTTTATAATTGCGTCAGGTAACTTAAATTTCTTCACAAGGAAACTCCAGCAGAAGTTCATTCCTCTAAAATTAATGTCTCCAAGATGGCAGAGTTAGTTACTAGAATGGAGCGTGTATATACACACACATATAAGCAACAACTTTCTCGACATAGAGAATCCTTTTGGTGCTAGCAACTCCATATCTTATCAGACATGGAATCCACTGAAGCACACTTTTAGCTAGCTGATGCAGAATGCTCTGAAATCAAACAGTATCAGAAAGAAACTTGAATTAATTGCAACAACTAGACCATCAACTGATAACATCAAGCTTATCAACTCAGATTGTTGTGTTAAGATTAAAATTTGTCTACTGTCACTTATATATAGGTAGCAAGACAAGGGTGTCCATTTTTTAATTACAAGTGTTTTGCATATGAAAATCCATTATGTTAAATAACTATTTCAACCCACAAAGCTAATGTTATAAGAAACAGCAGAAACAAGATGAGTAATGATAGACAATAATAAAAAGATAAAACTAAACAAATTATCAATACACAAGATTTATGTCGTTCGGCAAATTGCCTACTCCACGAGTGAGAGGAAAGTTTTATTAATTTGATAATAGGAGAATATAAGAACTCGAAGGCTCAATACAAAGTCTTTGTATTTCACTCTATATCTTAAATAGAGGTATTAGGAGGTTTAAATACCTCATACCTATAAAGAAAAAAAACCTAATGGGCTAAATATATTATTGGCTCATAAAATTTAAGCCATAGTTTAACAAATCTCCACCTTGGCTTGAATTCTACAAGTCTTCAACAATATCAAATAATTTCTCAAGACACACCTTTAAGCTTACATGAATTAATTGGGTGTAAGAAACAAGAGATGTGAAAAGAGAAAATATTGATTTCAACATTGTGACTAGCAAAATTTCTTCTCTCTAACAAAAACCCCCAACATACATAAACAAATGCTTAAGGCACGGGGGTAGAGGCGAACCATACAGCCAAAGCAACAAAGTGGCATGCCCATGCTTCGGTCTCCAATTCAAAAGAAAAAGAAACCACACAAGTAGTTTCATGAGGCACGAGCACAAGCAACGAAACGTCACTCTCGTGCTTCACTTTTCAAATCAAAAGACAACATGGTAACAAGAAAAGTCATATGGGCGAGAGGCATTAGGCACAAGTGCAAAACAAATGCTTCGCATGAGCGAGAGGCATGACATACGGCACAAGACAAGTTCTTCACATTGGCGGAGGCATGAAGCACAAGAGAGAGAAGAAAACTCACACGGTCATGCCTCTCTCCTTCACACGACCGAGCCTCTCCTTTCGGTAGTACACTTTTTTTTTTTTAACATCACTCGAGTCCAAATAATGTGTGAACTTATTTGCTATAGCGAGGTTTAGTTAACGCATCGGTTGGATTGTCTTTAGTGTAAACTTTTTCACTTGTAATCTTTTTGTCGAAAACTGCTTCAAGGATGAAATGATACACGATATCAATATGCTTGGTCCTCTTGTGATGTGCTTGATTTTTGGTTAAGTGTATAGCACTCTAGTTGTCATAAAAGACAACTGAATTTTCTTCTTATTGAAGATTAAGTTCCTTCATAAGATTTTTCAACCAAATAGCCTCCTTCACGACCTCGGCCTATCGCCATATATTCTGTTTTAGTAGTCGACAAAGCAACCATCAATTGTAATGTTGATCTCAAACTTATAGCAAAACTCGAAAATGTGAAGATATACCCCGTCAAAGATCTCCTTTTATAAAGATCACTTGTATAATCGGAATCCACAAAGCCTCGCAATTGAAGTTTCGGAAGCACTCGCCCTTTTCAAAGACTAAACCCAAGTCTATGGTACTTTTTAGATACCTAAGAATCCACTTCGTTGCTTACCAATGTACCTTTCTTTGGCGAGCCATATATCCGCTCACAACACCGACTACCCGAGCGATGTACGGACGAGTGCAAATCATAACATATATTATGCTTTCTATTTATTAGAATATTAAACTTGTGACATTTTCTTCTTTTCTTCTTCATTTTGAGGTGACTAAGAAGTCAAAAGTCTAAAGTGAGTAGCCAATGGAGTATTGACGAGGTTTTGTAATGCCTCGAACCGTTATTAAATAAGTTAAAAAAATATATTAAAAATATGAGGGGATTAATTCATGGACATGGAATGAATGCGGTGAGATTGCTAGAATATTCAAAGCAATTAAGATAGTTTTTTCATACTTAGTGAATATTTTGTTGATTTTTCGGTACATGAATAATGACTTTTTATGTGAAATAATTATTTTAAGCAAGATGAATGTGCATGAAAAATGTTTTTTTTACATAGAATATATGCTAGAGGGGTATTAGATTATTCAATTCCATTGGATGATTTTTTTTTGATGTTTTGTGATTATTTTATTT